TAGCATTATTGGATGGGAGGAACCCTCTACTTTGTACAGAACAGTGCTATAAATGAATCCAAGGAATATTCCATATGTATGCATAGGAAGCACAACTTTCTCCCTTGATACCAGTCCTAAGCTTTGTTGTAAGGAGCCTAGGTCTTGCTCTGTCCAGATGGGCTGTGCTGGAATAGCTTCAGGATAATCGCAGCTGCTATTATGGTTTTAATGTAGCTGTTATTATGGTTTTAATGTAGCAGCACTTTAAAAAGGATGGATCTGCACAAAGCTACTTCTTCCATCCCTCCCTTGCACCATTGTTATATTGTAGATATTTTTGGTGATCCTGCTGAGAAAGCTAGTGCAGACCAGCCAATAATTACTTCTACTTCAGGAGGGCCTATGCAACATGGTAGTAAAAAAGCCAGTTATTGGTCCCTACTAAATTGCTGGGTTTTTGGTTGTAGCCATATTGATCTAAGGACATAGACAGGCAAAGTTCTTTGAGTAGATATGATATCTTTTATTAGATCAACTGAGTAGTTAGAAAAAAGTTCTTGGCAAGCTTTCAGATGCAGTCACCCTTCTTCAGGCATGGAGAGTCTCTGCTGGTCTGAGATGAAAAGAGGCATAAATGAGAAAGGAAAATATGTAGAAATCACAAAGACAAAGGGCAGTGGAGGGGAGAAAAGGCGGGGAAAAAGAAGAATGTAAGAGGTCATGCCAGGCAGGTACCTGGTGAATTAGATGTCAGACAGGTTGTAAAGTGTCATAAATCCAATGTCTATATTGAGTTCATGATTTTTTGTATCCAGTAGATTTATGAAGTGGAGTCTGTAGGCTCATCTACGAAAGGTGTTTTGTAAATTCCCTTTGAGGATTAGAATTGAGAGACTGGAGAGGTTGTGATTGTCCTGTGAGAAGTGTGCCCCCACAGGTAGTTGGGTATTCTTGTCTTTCTTGAGCAACCAAACAACAACTGAGTACCAGAATGAATGCAAACCAAAAATCTATCAAAGACAAGGATACCCAACTACCTGTGGAAGCACACTTCTCACAGGACAGTCACCCCCTCTCTGATACATCAGTTCTACTTTTACCTACTCTTCTGCCCTTTTTCTTTGTGATTTCCACATATTTTCTTTTCTCATTGATGCCTCTTTTTCACCTTGTACTTTTCCCTTTTCCCCCTCCCTTCCCTGCTTTTCCTTTTTGTTTTTCTAATTTCTACCTATTTATATTTTCACTGACATCCTGGCACACTTTTGGCTTCTCTCATTCCCATCTTCCTAATCTCCTACTATTCCCTTTTTCAAAGACAACCTCTTTTCTACCTTGTAGAACCTCTTTCTACACTATGTCTCCCTTTTCTTTCCCCTCCCTTCTCTGCTTTACAATTTGTCTTCCTAATTTCTACCTGTTTACATGCTCACTGACATCCTGCCACACTTTCAGCTTCTTTCATTCCTTGGAGTCTCAGACCAGCAGAGACTCCCTATGCCTGAAGAAGGGTGACTGTGTCCGAAAGCTTTCCAAGAAATTTTTTCCAACTACTCAGTTGGTCTAATGAAAGATATCACATCTACTCAAAGAACCTTGCCTGCCTATGGTCCCTACTAATGCTCCTGCTACAGCCAAATAAGCCCTAATACATGCTAACTTCCTTCCTTTCATTACATCAGTAAAGTCCTATAAGCATGTTGCTCAGCCTGCAGGCTCCTGCAGCCTGGTTTTGCTCCCTGAGGACTTCCTCAGCCAGTCCTCCCTCCCAAATAACAGAAAACAAATAAACCATCAAACAAAAATCCTGTCCCGGACAGTAGGAGGGACTCTGGCTTCAACACAGCCTAACCCCACCCTGGTAGCAAGCTTGTTCCACTCACAGCTTGCCTCCTGCTTCCAAACTGCTCCTTCACCCAGTTTGCTCCTCTCCGCTCACTCCCTTGACTATTTCAGGTTTTACCGGGACATGTCCTTATTATCTATTCTAGAGGCCTGCAACTGAGCTTCCTCAACAGGGCTGACTCCTGTTTCTTAAAGGGCCAAACCTCCTTGTTAGATGCCCTGAAGCTGGTGCTGCCAAGGTTCTCTTGTGAATAATGCCCTGCACCAAGTGAACATGGGAGGCAAAGGTGACCTCTTCTGATAGCTCCCTTCAACATTTAATGTCAGTGGGAGATGAGCTAGGTGCTTCCCATGGGAGCACTTGTGCAGCTGCCTTGGGAGAACAGCTCCTGCCAGCTCTGTAATCGTCAAATATATATGAAGCTAACACAGTTTCCATTCACGGTTAGAATTAATGCTAGGCCACTGATAGATGCATAAACTAAGACTTCTGAAACTGCATTTTTTTGGGCAGCTTCTGGCCTGCAAAATAAGATAATAAATATTTTTCCAGTCAGACTAAGGTGGTTATGTGATTTTGCCAAAGGCATATACAAAATCCCATTTGTCTTGTCTCCCCTTCTGCACAAACAAAACAGCCCTTCTGCTAAATGTGATAAACTACAGCAATATTTGTGTGTGTGTGTATACACAAGGAGATCTCTAGTAGTCAATGCATAACTCTGAACTGCCTTTCCCATGCTGCAGAACACTGGGATACCTTGGTAAAAATCATAGTGTTGTGTCTTATATCTGCAGTGTATATATGACCCAGATGCTGGGCTCAGGTTGTGTGTGAAGCTCAGCTTTCATTAAAAAAAAGTAGTTTCTAACTGTCATCATTTAGGAGAAAAGCTTGAAAATATGAAACCTAAATGGGCTAGCACCAGGAGGCAAATAAAAAGAACTCTCCAAATAATAATTTTTGAAATCTCAGGATTTGGGGGACCTGACTTGTAGCTGGCAAGCCTACAATGAGCTCAAACATAAGAAAAACTTGATTAATTCAAAAAGGGACTCTTTGAACCTTAGAGATTGAAAGCCCACATGAACTGGTTTACTGGTTCTTGTGGAAAAAGTTTGAGCTTATTTCAGTCAGACCGTGGAAGGTTTTGTTAAGCACTAAGCTATACCTAAATCCCCTAGTCCTTTCCAGTTTCTACAGCATTAAGTGCCATTTTTAACATGGATGTGAAAAAGCTGAATTCAGGCCATATCTTCTGCGGCTGAATCAGGAGTTTTGTCTAAAAAAAGATTATGCAGGTTCACTTGCCAGCTTTGTTTGCTGTGTTTTATGAGTGGATGTGATGACCGATGAGTCTTCATAAGGGCTGTTTACAGTGTGATTGCTAAGATAAATGGAACATGGTAAAAGCTGTTAAATTCCTGTATCCCCTATTGCATTGTAAGTCATGAACTCTACTGAGTAAAATGAAATTGGAAAGAGATGGGATCTAAAATGAATCTCTTCTAATAAGTGACTATCATAATTTCAGGACATATTTTCCATTATAAGCTTACGGCACTGAATCTGTTTATGAAAACTGAACTGAAATTGTGAATCACTCCATAAATACTAACTGAAACAAGATGGCTCAGTTTTAAATATTTATGGTTTCTGTCTCTAGGTTTCAGAACATCAGAAGTTTTATTTCATAGGATTCAGAAGTAAAAAAAAAAAATCACTCTAAGCTTTCCCAGTAAGCTCTGCATCCTTTCATTATGGAAAAGGAGTTTCTACAGACTGAATGCAAGCTCAGGGAAAGTGAGTCACAGAGAACTGACTATGCAAGAAGAAAAAATGAATAAGGTAAATGACAGAACTCTGCAGCAGCCTCTGCTCTCAATTATGCCAGGGTAAATACAGTGCCCTTGAAAGATGTGGATGTCCTCCAGATTTACAGCAGGATAGCAGAAAGCAGAATTACATCCACAGTGACCAAAGAGCAGTTATTTACTAAGGGCTGTTTTCAGAGGAGCATTTGAAATTGCTAATACTAAATGTTCTCTTTGTATCAGAGCTTCAGTGGGTGGAGTATTTCCTCTCAATTTTCAGAGATAAAGTATTTGTTTCTTACTGTGAGTCATTCAGAGATTAGCTTTTCAAAACACCAGCCAAAGTGAAGGATTTGTTCGGCCTTTTTTTTCTTCTTTTTCCTTCATCTGCTAAATATGTTTGTTTCTAGACAATTTGCACATCAAGCAGCATTTACTGTACTTTATTGCTATAATCTCCTTTTTGGGAGTTCTGCAGTGTAGCCTCTGGCAAGTGATTAAAAGGTTTAAGTGACACCTAATGCACTGTTAAGTTGCTATGTTCTGCAAAGGCATCTGGAAATGATTTCGCTCTCTTTAGATAGATTTTTTGGAAGAGAACTTAACATGACTTCCCCCACCCTTAAGAAGTTAACAAGGAGCAATAAAGACAAGGTGAAGGATAACCGGTATAAAAGCTCTGACCATGCAATATTCATTTTTTTTCCATAAAGGATTCAACAAATATAGATACAAAATTAAATAATTGGGCATCTGCAACTTTCTATTTTGTTCCAAGTTGCCTGTGGAAGTCGGATTAATCAGAACAAAATGCGGGTGATGGAAATTTGACAATGTTAATGAAACCTGAAGATGTACAGTCCTAAGGCTAAGTCCTTGGGGAGGATAAGCATCAGAGAGCAACATGGACTGAGGAATGGAAACAATGATGGATGATTTTAATTGATTCTTTTGAAAGGACCCTGACTTAATTAACATAAAAATATGGGCAAAGATCACTAGATGCAGCAAGGGTCAAATTTTAGGCTAAGGCCTCCAAAAGTGATAACGTTACACAAGGGACAAAGGCAAAAACTTGGCACTAAAACAACTCTTTCCTGTTTATGTCTCTTGAGGGCTAATTGAAGATGATGAATGATATTCGTTAAATGGCTGGCGATCTGTTTTGCATGGATTTGGGGGTGATCAATTCCCCAACATCATCACAGGCCAGCTGGAAAATATTTGCTTCTAGCCTGATGTTTTATAATTCTGAATTTTCAACAAGTTATGTTTGACAGCTATATTTGGAAAATTAGACTGAATCTGAGCTCCTCTAGCCCTTTATACCTTCTCTCCCTCAGTTGCCTTACCCTTTGTAATGTATTATATACATGCTTTATAGCAAGTATGGACAAAGGCAAAGGTGCACCAGATCTGACAGGCTGAAATGCTTGGAGGCTTAATATACTCTGGTTCCACTTCTGGAAATGACGTGGAAGTTTGTACCTAATCCTCTACATGCCTAGAAAAGAAACATGCAACATGATGATTTGCACGTTGGCCACTTAGATAAAGTGGTTTTACTGTTGAGGGCGTAGTCACAGAATCATACAGAAGTAGGGCTGGAACAGCCTTTGAGCCCTTCTGAGACAGGATTATCCCTATCCAAATCATCTCATACAAATCCATTGTCTAATCTTTTAGCAAAACTGCACAGTCAACCCTGCCACAACCACAAAATATAACCTAACCTGTTTTAAGTAAAGCAGGGGGATCATGGTGACCAATGTCCTGCTTCTGTAAAGGTTGTTAATATACGCTCAAGTGATCCCAGGAAGAGATCCATGCCCCCGACCGCAGAAGAAGGTAAAAATGCCAACAGTCCATACCAGTCTGCTATATTTGAGGTCAGGAAGGAATTTTACCCCATGGTCAATCCGTCTGACCATGGGTGACTGGTGCTTCCTGACTCTAGGCTAAACCAGCAAAACCAGAAGTGCACTTCCGCTGGCACTTCCGGTTTCGCGGCTGGCACTTCCAGGGGGTGAATGGCCAGTCTCAGGGGATGCACAGGCACCCCCTACATGTTGCCAGTGAGTTTGACTCTGAGCAGAGGGGCAAGACTCTCTAACCAGGAACCTTCAGGTTCCTGACATAACTGTCAGGTTATGTCTCAGCAGGAGCAGTGACACACCCTAGTCAAAATCCCCAGCTTTGGCTTCAACACCTAACGCCTCTGAGGAAGGCTTAAAAAAACCCCGAACCCTGACACATGTAGCAGTGGGGGTGGAGTGGCAGGGGGAGCAAAAAAAATGTATAATGTAGAAGCAAAAGAATAATGGCATTTTTATTGCAGGGAGGCAAAAGATAGAGCCAGTTTGTTTCCTCAAAGATACCCAACAGTGTATCTAAAACCTTATGACTCAAACAATCTAACTGCAAGGGGAATAAAATACCATACACATAGATCCCGCACAAAATAGTCAAACTTCAAATAAAAGCACACAGTAAGTCAGCCGCACTGTAGGCCAACCACATGTAAAAGCAAGCTGTAAAACCAGCCCGACAGAGCCAAACCACATGTAAAAACATGTTAAAAACCAGCCTCAGACTAGCCAAACTACATATAAATCAAAGTCTATGTGTTTATCTGAACCATCCAATGCTCCCGAGAAGCCCTTCAGGTCAGGGGTCCTTCTGGCTCTACACCTTCCTAATGTTGTTTTCTCTTTAAGAATGGCCAATGGCTTAGTAACCTCATCCAGCATCTTCAGTGCCTATTCTCCCTTCCCATGGCTTCAGGGAGCCATTAGGTAAGCCTGCTGTCTCCTTACTTGGGTGCTGGATTGTTTTTGAAGGAAAAATAAAGCAGCTTTGCTTTACTTTGAAGCTAGGGAGCAATCCAGAGCCAAGCTTTGGAGAGACCAAAATGTAGTCCATATCCTGAGTGATGCAGAGGGAGTCCCTTAAACTTTATTCTTCTTGAACAAAGAGTCAAACTGGCTTTTAGTAACCCTCCTGACCACACAGGATCAGCTAAGGTGAAAAGGACTAGGTGAAAAGAAGATAATTTTGTGGCTCATCTGTACATCTCAAAATGAAAGAGTAACCAAAATGTATTGCTGTGTTTCTAGTCATCCTAACAGCAAAATATTGTACATTAATTTCTGACAGAAAAAAAAAATCAATTTTCCATAAAACAGCTTCCAATACATAGAGGCTTCATGACTAAAAATGTAAGCAGCTTTCATTTAAAAGACTTTACATTTACCAATATCTAATCAGTTATTATTTCTGCTTTCAGGACCAGATCCATGAAAAGGATAAATTAGGTATTACTAGTAAAAAAAATGCATCTATTTTTTTTAGATGCCAGCCAGGGCTGCTCTAACCCAGCTCCATGTGCTGCGGTCCAGGGTTCACGTTCAAATGGTGCGCCTGCCTAACTCCAATAAACTCTAGTAAACTCCAGCCTGATGTGCACTAGAGTTTGTTTCACATTAATTGCATGTGTAGACTCTCCCTGTAGGTCATTGACAGAGCTAGGATTAGAACCCAGGTCTTTTGTATGGTAACCCCCTAAATAGAGCTCATTATCATTTTCAATAAGAAGTCCCAGTAATAACTGTGTTGAAAAGCATCCGTTTCCTGCTGTATCACCAGAAACTAGCACATATGGACAGTCTTTAAGAGCACAGTCATCATATATCTATAAAATGAGTACACTGTGTAGTATAGGAAGACTTACATCGGAAAAGACAGCTTGCAGAAGCTGAGAGAAGAAGGTTTAATGGTTTGTTCAGGCAATGAGAGTTAGTCTTAGCTTATGCTTTATTGTTTAAATTCACTAGTATTTAACATGCTGTTGAAGAGATGGTGGAGGGAAGGGGGTGAATTTTTCTGAGATAATCCAGGATTTCAGCCCTAAAGCCCCTTTATAGGTAACATAATCTTTGAAGTCAGCAGGTCACATCTTTATTTTCTGTCAATCCACATAGTTCCACTCACTTGACTTAGAGAGATAACAAGTTCCATCAGCAGAGGATCTGGCCTAACAAACCAACTTTAGTCTCCTACTAAGAGGGCATTGCTCTATTAAAATCAGGTCCAAATGAACATTTTACCTGAAGAAGGAACCACACAGAAATTTTAGGGTTTTGCTGCTCACATGTCTCTTCTCTATACAGTTTTATTCAGTTTTGTTTTAAACTTGATGGTTATTTCTCAAAGTTTATTCCATTCCATTGTCAGAGCAGGTAAAATAATTACTAGACAAAGTTTCCAAAATTTAGAAAATGAGGTATGTGATTTTTTTTCTCTATCCATTCTTAACATTTTTTTGAAAAAATTGTGAGGATATCTGTGCAATAATCTATTCTGCATGGTTCACTATACTTTCCATATGCAAAACTATATGAATACTTTTTTTTCCTTTATCCATTCCGGGGAACTCCTTCCTATTCTGGCAGATAGAATATTTCCCATAAAATATAGTAATGCAGGGCCAGTTTGGTGAAAAAAAGAAATATAGGAGAGGGGACAAGATATCTTGCCCACTTCCATAACAGTAACCTATTGATTAGTGTGCACTGCATGCTCCTTTCTCAGCACATCTACACAAGAAGTTTACTGTCCAGTTGATTAGGGTGCACAAAACTAATAAACTCAGCAGCAGGGTAGTCTTGTAAAATACAAGTACTACCCTGCTGTGGAGTCTTTTCATGCAGAGCAGCATATGTGTAGATGCTGCCCTGGATGGCTGGGGCACAGGGTGCTTCAGCATGGGGCTAGCTGGCAGGGAGCTCCCATGCTGAAACACCTCCATGCCTCAGCCAGCACCCTCAGGCCCCCTTTCCTCCACAGCCCCATTGCACATGGAGTCCTGGGCCCCCTGCCAGCCTAGGCTGTCCAACCAGGATCCATGTACTGTGCACAAGAAAAAACTCGAGAGATATATGCTCTGGATTTTTTGTTCCCAGGCACACGGTTTGAATGTGTGCCTGGTTGCAAAAAACTCCAGAGCAATGTACACATTGATTGCACATGTAGACGCCCTCTGTGCCCAGTCTACAGAGGATCAGTGTGTGTCACAACCCCAGCTTCTACTCATACCATAGTGTTTTGAGGGTTTAGTTCCAGAGGTCTTAGGTTTAATTCCTGATGTACTAGTCAAATGTCAGCTTTTGCACAAGTGTGGGGTTATTCCATGATCCCTGAACACAGGGACTGGCCTCTGTGGCGAAAGTGATCTCAAACAAGAAGCAAAACGGCATGATGGTGGAAAAACCAACTACAAAGAAAATGCTTCCTTAAGGTACAGCAGAAACTGGTACAGTTTCCCTGTGTGTTCATAGCACCCATAATACAAGTTTCAGTGTAGTCCTTAGTATTTCATTTTATTAATACATGAACCAAGGCTCGGCTGACATTTAAAACTAGTAATCTAATGAATAGGAACAGCATTTCTTATTCATTGCACTATCTATATATCTCTATCCTTTAACAAGTACCATCTACTATTTTGTCAATTAAGCTGTGGCTGTCTATAACATGAATCATGCTTCTATTAGTGCCAAAAGATTTTCCTTATGGGCATACTGATGGTCACAGTGAAAGTAACTAGAGAAGAGTACTGGGCTTCAATTGCTATCTTGTAAACCCCAAAAACATTACAGTGATTTACCACAACAATAAGCTGAAAAGGAGGAAATAAATGGAGATGCAGAGAAACAGATTAGTGAAGGGACAATTCTATAGAGCTCAGACTTAGAAGCAGTGGGTGACATCCTGAACACTTTGGAGTCAAGGGGAATTTTACCATTGATTTCATAAGAGCCAGTATTCTAGCAAAAGAGTTTCCAGAGAAGTAGTAGACTGTTGTAGAAAGAGGAGCATGTACAAAAGAAATCAGACATGCTGTGAAAGACATGATCTTTTTAACCATAGCTATGGCATCTAGAGAGTATAGGTTATGTACTACTTTTGCTCTTTCTTCTCCTAACTTTGTGCCAATATCGTGTTATCTGATATATTTTAATAATGTATGTGAACTTCAGATGAAAAGATCAAGCTAAACCCTGATTTCAAGTCTTAGCTCTCTGAAACATATGGTTGATTGTACACACAAATTTGTAATGTATACGCTCACAATGCATACTTAAAAAATTCCTCTGATCATCATTAAACATTCACACTGAAGTCTACCCTTTTGGCTAGCTTCACTACTAGTGCATCATCATATGCTTATGACTCATAATTCATAATGCTGGATGCTCTGGAGATCATGGAGAAGATTAATTTCTCCCTAACTGCAGGTCATTTCCATACTCAATATGTCTCTGAAAGAGCAAGGTTTTATTTTGCCTCATTCACCTTTGAAAAAACTGTTGATTAAGTCTTGATGGTTGAAACATCATTATTGTGGGTCATGGCATTGTGGCAGAGAGAAAGAACACAGCCTACTCTTCAGATCACCAGCTGAGTGTGAAGAAAGAGTGCTTAGAAAAGTCCTCCTTTACCTTGTGGTCTGAAAAAGTGTAGGGCAGGGGAAAATTAGGAGAAAATAAAGGTTTCTGTGGAGACCCCTACTCATACAATGGCTTTTCTGACTGCAGCAGGCCAACAAAACTACATGCCTCTTCTACCAACCCTACCACAATCGCCCTGACGGTTGCAAGCTCCAGCTTAATTCAAAACCCATTGAGGACAAAGGGAACTGTCTTCATCTGGCTTGGGATTAAGCACAAAAGAAAGCTGGTATACAGAAAAAAGAGCCCGCTTAATTCCTCCCCCACCCCAAAGTTTAAAATATTCTAACAAAAACAATGACCTTAATATAGACACTTTATTTCACCTTAAGTCCTCAAGTTTCCCACCAAGTTATGAGTCCTTAGGAAATCCCCTTTGCCTCCATTCTTATTGCTTAAGCAGTCCATCCTGTTTCTGTTCTAATGACAATCTTTGGCCAAATAACCCCAAATAAAAACACAGAGGCAAATCACAAAGAATTACTGTAAATACTAAAGTCAGAATGTGGTACAGTATTTGGTGCTACCCGTCATTGTTACTTCTTCATTAGATACCTTATACCCTGCTCACTTATTGACAATGAATTAACACAAGTACTGAGTGGCCTCATTCTTATGGTAAATCATTTTACCTTTTGGTTTTGGGTAGTCTTCAAAATGACTATCAACTCCACAAAGAATTTTTTCCCCCTACTATAATTGCAACATGCATCATAAAAGTTTTCTAGTGCACTCAGGATACAGAAGTGAGGGCTCTAAAGGAGCATTTCCCAATGATATTTTTACAGTATTTCCCAGTGGTATTTTTGCAGGAATAAAAAGTAACAAAGAAATTAACATCGATCAAAGCAGATAATCAGAACAAAATGCTGATCTGTCTCTCATGTTCTGGGTTGTTTCTTTTTTGGATAGAGTCTGTTTACTGATATGTATATTAGTCTTCTAATCCCTTAATGGGGGAACAGTCTTTTGAAGACTCCCTCTCAGAGGTGCTATTACCAAATATATGCTTCTAATTTAACTTCCCATGCCATATTACAGTAGCCTGAGGCAAGTGTAAGTGTTGGGTTGGTGAGAAAAGCCCACTGCTGATGTTTATCAGATGACCTTTTAAAGGGTAATGGGGGGGGTTATCCACTGACTGATTAAAACCACATGTAGGTCAATTTTCCCAGGCATTTCTTACTACTTTTTAAAATCCCAAGGTTTTTTTTTAATACGAATTCAGCCAGGTATCTTCCATTTCTGACATGTATAGGCAGCACGATAGAATCAAACCCAAATGTCACCTGAACTTACCCACTTGAAAGTCAAGAAACCCACATTTGCAAAAGAATTATTAATAATTCTTATAATGCCCAAAGACGCCCGTCTGGTTGGAACCATAGGCTGCGGGACACTGTACAAACACAAAGAAAGAGATCACCCTTGTCTTAATAAGCTTCCCGTCTACAAAGACGAGCAACATATGCAACTGGGAAAGGAGCAACAGTATAATACAGTTATGAATTTTTGTGATTTTTTTTCTTGTAGCTATAAATACAGTAACCCCATCTGCTGACATGCCATTGATTTCTTACAGGCACTAGACAGGAGATGGGCCTTTTCTTCCTTCCGATTTCACAGGAAAGTGTATTCATGTTGGAGCTGGACAGTCACTCTCAATTTTTTTAAATCATTGCAAGACTCTGCAGAGGTCATGGTCATCTGTTTTGTTCTGAGCACTGAAGGGAACAACTAAGCACTATGGTACGGAGCTCCTGAGCTTTGTTGTTCCCGTAAGGCCCTTCTGGACTTCTGTTTGATCTCAGATGTAAATGTAGAAGGGCAAGAAAGGGCTTGGGGCCTTCAACTTTCACATCTTGGAGGAAGGGGGGAACACCATCTTTGTTACACATAAGCTTCTGCACCATTTAGCTTTTGGCAGACTATGAAGGGGAGACAGGGGACTGGGAAAGAGATACCCAGTCTGAGGACACATGGGTACCTGTCACTGTTTGGCAAGCTCATTTTTGAGGTAACTGTGTTGGAGGATGTACATTTTTCTGCCTTTAGAGGGCAGCTTGCCTCATTTTAGACAAACAAGAAGCTGCTGTTAAATTCCTTTCTGGACCACCCTCCCTGCCTGGGCCTGTCCTATGCTTCCCTACCAGTAGAAAAAGAACAGGAAGATCTGGCTAGGGAAGGAGAGAGCAGAAGAGCAGGAGAGGAGACTCAGCTTCTCAACCTCTGACTCAGCAGCACCAGTTATAACTAAATGCTTCCTCAATTTATTATTATTAAGGATTCTGGATAAATGCCATGCTCCCCAAAATGACATAACATACATACACCCATAATATAAATAAGTTTGAACAAAGTAACCAAACTACACATATTATACTAAAAATAGCGCCCACCCACATAAAAACATTATTAATATAAACATAGTAGCAGATCAAGACATTCATCTATAATACTGCTGTACGTAGGTCCACACTTGAGACAATAAAATCACGTCTAATGTTAAAACATATCACTCATATCAGTAATAAAGGATATTTAACTCTAATCACCTCAGCCTTGTAAGCGAAAATTTGCTAGATGGGTTATTACATTTGGATCTGTTTGCCATAAAAGCCAAATTAATTTCTCTCTGTTTGAAAAGTATATCAATTTCTGCAAGTTTGGTAATAAATAGGTTCTCCTTATGTCATCATATAAAGAACTTTCTAATACACTGTGGACAGTATCTGTCACAACTCCTAGACAGGGTGGGCAACATCTTTTAGCCCCTGGGATGGAAAATCTGCGTCCAGCCAGATGAACTGTGAGCATTTGTTCGGTCCTGAGTCTAGTCAAAGAGGATAGCCATTTATTATTGAAATCCAACCGTAGATCCTTTCTCCCCCTCAATCTAATTTCCAAAGAGTATGTAAAGGGGCAATGTGAGTAGCCCCAGCCACTGTAAAATCATTCTGCCTGGCAATATCTTGTGTCCTTTGGAAAACCCAAACCTTTTCTATGGGGGGAGAAAGATCTTTCATTATCTTTGAGATAATATCCCATCCCAGAAAGTGCAAAAGTGCAGGAAAGAAAAACTAACCAGGGTGACTGGAGAGGAGGGGGATTATTAATATCTTCTATGTAGCATAATTTAAGCAGATAAGATGGTAAAAGGGGCAGGATTTTAAACCAAAATCCTGCCATTCTAATAATAATAGTTAAAATAGAATCCATTCCCATCTCTAATCTCAAAAAAGATGCAGGAGTTGAGGGAAGAAGAGCCAGAAGAGCCCTAAGAAACTAATTCTGAGGTATGTCTACATCATTACTAGCAGCATAACCCCATACTTCAGCATCATATAAGATCTGAGGCGTGATTTTGGTTTTGTATGCTGATACAGGAGCTTGGACTGATCATCCTCCTGTAGTTTCATAAAATTTCTTTATCGCCACAGCTGATTGGGCTCCCTTAATTTTAACTGACTGAATATGTTGTTTCCATGATGGAGAAGCTGTGAATAAGACACCCAAATATCTATAGGATTTGAGAGCAGCACCAGATTTTGTTCAACTTCCCCTCTAAGCATGCAAGAAAAGAGGCACAGCTGATGAGCTGGGGGGTCTAGGACAGAGGAGTATGTAATGAGGGGTAGGGGGGAAGGAATGCCAGAAATGCAGGGGAACAGAAAGAGTGGCAAAGATGGGGGCAAGTAGAAGATGAATGGGCAATGAGGTATCAAAAGAAATGAAAGCAGATGTTTGTGGGTGAGAGGTGGGTAGAAACAGTTTTCAGGGAGATAAGAAAGATGGAGAGAATGGATAAATGAACAGAGTGCAGCAATTTAAAAAAGGGGGAGGAACTTTGGTGCATGACCTGATCCATGGTAACTGCCTTTGTGTCCACTCCTACCCTGCAGTAAACCAGTAAAAATGAAAGAGTCTCTGATCCCTTTCAATTTGCTGTGATGTGTTTGTCTATACCCAGAGGGTCTTGATGGCCAAACAGAAAAAGTTCTAGGGCTTCAGAAGGCCCCTCAGGGGTTGGAGCCCATGTGGAAAGGTCTCCAAGCAACAGCCTAGCCCTCTTCGAATTGGTGAGCAAATATGCAGGTGAGATGTCACATCCCACCACGTACTGAGTTGACAGCTCAGGATCAGGCCTTGTTTGGCAACCTGGAAGAAGCAGAGTGCTGCTGTGGGGTTGCTCTGCCACCAAGCACCAGCAAAACTCGACAGCATTCATTTTTTATACAGCTTTTCTCTAATTACATGATTCAGGGGTAAGACAATGATTATTATTTGTAGATGAAAGTAAAGAGAAAAACTCATCAAAGAGATGTATTAAGCCCTTCTACTTCAGGGATCATTTTCCAGTCATAACTATGGGGGGAAAAAAAGTTCCTTGCAGAGATATGTTGACTTTATGTCTATTTTATTTTACCAAAAGTATCAACTCCATTGAAGCACATCTCTTCTATAGCAAAATGTGCCCTGGAGGGTGTTAGCACTGAAACGTCAATTATATATACAGGCACACTAACTGTTAACAGACAATTACGGCATTACAGTGTCAGTCAGATACGACCTCCCACAAACTAACTATTCCACAGGAAAACTGAACTGGCTACAGGGGACTGCTGCTGTGAGATACTGAGCTCCTTGACTTCCATTCAATTCAGTGAGAATTCAGCACTTCCTTTATTGCTCAGCACTTTGGCAGAACAATCGTGGAGGAGCAGCTGCTATTGCTGCTTGGAATCTCTGAAAAAAGTGCTGTTTTGAAACAATTCTGTGTCTATATCCCCTAATTTTTACCTTGCTATTTCCTCATTTAGTAACGGTGCACAAAAATAACATCTTGGTGTTACTGGCGTCTCTGCACTCTTTACCACTGAATAAAGTGGTTGTTGTGCTTCTGTTCCCTTCCAGTGTCATAAGAATCAGGATTAGCAGAGACTCAGAGCCCATCATAATGCCAGATGGTAGCCCGGGGTAGCATGTGGAAGGGGGGCATTACACAAATCCCACAAGCTCCATCTTAACATAAAAAGAGACTTCATAAACTCCTTGGAATAAGGAATGGTTTTTAATGGACTTTAGCAGAGGGCCTGGTCTTGTAGTTTCTCATTCTGTGTGTAGTCCTGTTCCCATGAGTGGGCCTTTTTGAGCTCACATGAGTCAACACAACTCACAATTTTGTAGGATTGGCTCTTATTTCCTAAAACACAATGCAAATGCAGCATATGGTGAAGAAGCATTTTATGTGATTCATAAATATGGACCCTAGTTAACAGTGGGCACGTCTACACATGCAGCAGACTGCGCAGTTGTTACTGCGCAGTCCTTTAGTCCTTGCTTAAGCACGTGCTAAAGGACTGCACAGTAACTGGCATTACTGTGCACTTCCGATGCTGCACAACTATTTACAGCAGCACTGTGTGGTAGGAATGAGGTACTGTGGAGTAACTCATTGCTATTGCATAGTAGCATCATTGTCATGATTCATGCCTGGCATCACTATGTCACTGTAGCAATGAGCTATGGTGATGTAGCTTGTCACTATGGCAACATAGAGTGTTTTGTAGACATGCCCAGTGAGCACCTGTTTGGGCATTTTCTACTCCATCCCACAGAATTTGCAATTTACCACTTAAAATTATTCCCATCGCACCAGTAGTCAGATTTGGGAGAATGTGAATTATTTGGAAAGACAAATATAAGGTCACTTGAAAGATGCATCAGAGGGTGCAAATGTAACAAGTGCTTCAAACTGAAGGACTTCAGAGTTGTTCCTGTTTCATTCAGGGGCATTTTTTTTAAATGGACTGGACCAATTAAGTACATAATTACCAGATGATGTCTGCCCCCTCACTTTGTGGAAGGCATTAAAGGCATTTGGAGTGTGATATATCCTACATCTGTCCATGTCCTAACAGGCTTGTTTATTCGTAATACTTTAGAAGGGTTTCAGGTCTGTCCTTAGGTGTCAGACAGTTTTTAAGGATTTGCCTATATGGAATTATGCTTTAACTAATCTCAAATTGTCAGAACTAATACAAAAGCATCAAAGTGAAATTTAATAGCTTGTGATATATAGGCTGTCATGCTAGATGATCCTGTGGCCCATCCTGGACCTAAACTCTATGAATCTGTAGATCAATACATTTAAACACGAAGGACTTTTTTTTACTTAAATTAAAAGTTTGGCTTTAGTCCATGTGTAAGTCTGTTTTTTGTCTACATTTTCCACCCTGCAGAAGGTGGAAAATGTAGAAGGTGTTGTTACTTTAGTCCACTCAGCTAAGAGTATAGGAATAATATGAATGACAATTGCTAAAAAAAAAATAAAAAATCATCCTCTATACCTTCCAAGAGTGCACCTTGCAGCGTCTCATGTAGTCACAGCTCATGACT